CCCCCCCCGCCCCCTTGTTTTGCGCGGCCGTCTTTCATGAGGTGACGGATAAACGCTTTCGCAGTGTTCGGTGCTGGATTGTGCTCTATCTCCCAATGGCGGCCTGCTGGCCATTGGTGGTACCAACGGAGTGGCCACGATTCACAACGCGCAGACTACAGAACAGCATGTGTGTACATGCTGTTCTGTCGCAGAGGCTGGAGGCCTAGGGGCCAAGGGCTACAGACTCAAAGGCGCGTTGCGATCTTCTGGCGGGACAACTTACCTGTCTTGCCCCTGTGAACAACGAATAGCGTGTGCTAAAGGGACATCGGGGTGACGTGTACTCGTGTCAATTTTTTCCCTCTGGCGAGGTGCTGCTGACGGTGCGTGTTTTTAGCGTCCGTACTGGGCGATGGCACGGCCGGCCTTGTGTTTGACGTCTCTCTTTGTCCATGCATTGTCCTGCTATAGACTGGTGCAGATCACACGCTGCGAATCTGGTCGGTGGCCGATGGCTCTTGTCCTGTCGTGCTCAAAGGACACACGGCAGGCGTACTAGCAGCCGGGATTGTGGATCGAGGTCGCAATATCATCTGTGAGGCCCTCGAAACCTTTCGATCTGATCCAATGAATCGTTGCAACTGGGAAAACTGACTGCACGCGTGCTCTGGTTTTTCCCTCACAGCGGGTAGCCGAGATGGCAGCGTACGTTTGTGGGACTGTGGCTCGGCCAGCTGCGTCCGCCAAGGTACTTGGACCGTCACGGGCGCACCTGCTTGTTGCCCTTGTTGCTCAAAGCTTGAGGCAATGTGATACCAGTCGTCTCGGGCTCACGGCTTTTGTGGCCAGTGTACCCGTTGGCTGTGGATGCCGCGCCGCGCACGGCCACAAGTTTACAAGGGCCCGCTGTCACCGCGCTGGCCGTGGCACGCGTGGCCTCAGACAGTGGAACCCTGTCAGATTCCTCGGCAGCGCCAACTCTGGGTACGTGACAGCGAAAGAGTACATCGTGGGAGGGGGTACGAGCGCAGGGCATGTGTATCCGCGGTCGTTTTACGGGTGTTCGACTGTAGACGAGCACGAGGCGGGTACAGACGATCACCTGGTCTATGTGGCCACGGAGGCCGGCCGTGTAAGCGTGCTAGATCTTCGAGCACGTCAAGCGGTGAGTCGGCCAAGTTGCGTATTTACCAACTTGCCTTGCTGCTGACCGAAACACTGATCGGTTTGCCCTTGCCAATATCAAGGGAGGGCGGAAGAGGTTTTGATTACATGTTGTTTGGGTGCTGTGACTGATTCTTGCTTTGGTGATCTCAGGTTTGGCAGCTTGATGTGTCAGCGGCTGCCAGCGAGGCAGGCATTTCAACGCCAGGTACTGGGGAAGGTAGCTCACTCAAAGCATTGGAGGTTACATGTTTGAGCTGCGATGGCGCCGTCGGGGGAAGCGGCGCGCAATTTGTGGCAGGCACAGACCAGGGTCTCCTGTTGAGCTGCGATCTTCGCGTACCCAAGTAAGCAGCGGAAGGAAATAGGTGGACAGCGTTGTTTAAGCTTTTGTTTGCATCCACTAATTTTGGGATGAGGAGAGGTTTTAGCCATGTCTTTCTCACGTATGGGCGACTGTGGCAGGCGGCCCGTGAATTGGCGCCAGCAGGGCAATGCGGCCATTACGGCCGTCTGTGCGAGCCATCGGTAGGACGAGGGACGATGAGAGGGTACCTGTCATGCTATTCGATTGGAGCATTGGATCGCGCTCATCAATTGGCCAACGGTGGTGGTTGTGGCTGATTCCGGCCCCCCTGATAGACCAACAGCCTATGAGTTTGTGTGTGGAACCGTAAATGGGGACGTTGTGGCATGGCCCACACCCGCCGCAGAACACGATGCAGGCTCCTGGCTGTATTCAGGTGTGTCTTGCCTGTCTTCTTCTTTTGCTTCGTCTTCTTCTTCCTTTTTTTTTTTTTTCCCCTTCATATTAAGGGTCGGCGGAACGTCGTGGCCTCACGACCCAATGAGCTTTTCTTATTTTTTTTCCCACAATGTGCACGGGCGGGCGTCGAGTAGGCAGCAACCTGGATGGTATCTCCAGTCTGGCCCTCAAGGGCGACTGGTTGTACGCAGGGTGTCGAGACGGCGCGGTTCGACAATACCGGTATCGCGCTTATTCAGACGCAGCGTAACCTAAATTTTGACATCTGTTCGGATGTGAGGGCGGCCCCAGACGAGATGCCGACCCCGAACACGGGCCATTGCGTGAGCGCGCAGGCAGGACAAGAATTGGCAGCGAGTCCTTGCCCCCTCAACAAGACCCCAATCAACCTGGTTTGAGACGCTTTCGCCACCAATTCAGTCTCTCTCTCGCTCTCTTCGCCCCCTCCCGTTGTGCTCCGGGACCTTCAGATAGAGAAAAGGAGCAGAGCCAGAACAGAGAGGTTTGGCTTGGGTGCGCGGCGCGGCGTTGCATCAGTGGCCATCACCCAAATGTAGGACCCAAGTCAATGCCTTGATTCGAGCCCCCCTCCCCCCCTAAAAGAAAACTTCAAGTGCAAATATTGCTCACTAAGCAAACGTGAGAAAAAAAACCTTGATGCCCCTCAAATCCAGTTCGCCTTGACCCCTCCAGCACGCATGCACATTAAGCTCCCTACGCCCCGGCTCGTCAGCTGAATAGCATGCTCGCTGTCTCTGGTTTGGATGAGACTATTATGATTGCCCCTAACGCCGCAGCCCCGCAGCCTCCGATTCGACTGATCGGGCACTGGGCGTGGAGGGTGAAAAACGCTCTTGAGCGGCTCTGTCTGTTGCACGTCTAGGGCAGCAGCAGCCGGCACGTCTGGTTCAACTCGGCTCTGTGCGCATCACGCATCAAAGCATCGACCGCAATACGTCCTCCCTTGCATGGGGACGTTGATGCAAGCTCCCCACGACGACCCGGTTGGCAAAATTCACAATGGTCTGACTCGATCGACACGCCACCACTACGACCGCTCTGCGCGTCGTTGTTCAGTGTTTGGTTAGTTGTTGCCGAAGCTAAACGATGTTTATTGTTGGTGTTTTTTCACATAAATAATTAAGTTTTACTGTTTGTGAAGTTTTATTAAGGGATTCGGTGCTGGTTTGTGAAGAACATGATACACATGTTGCTGTATTAATGAAAATAGTATCGTCATATTTGCAAGTTATTGCACAACTACCCAACACCGTCCTACCAAACCCAAACCATGATGGTTGTGCCACACCCCCGACAAACGGCCCAAAAGCCCCTTTTCTATTCTTTTCTCTCTCAATCTCTCTCAACTTCTCTTAACGTCTCTCAACCTCTCTCAACCTCTCTCAACCTCTCTCAACCTCTCTCAACCTCTCTCAACCTCTCTCAAACCCTCTCAATCTCTCTCAACATCTCTCTATCTCTCTCAACATCTCTCTATCTCTCTCAAACTCTCTCTATCTCTCTCAAACTCTCTGAAACGCTCTGCGTGCTCGTTCGTGTGTGCGCAGTGGTTTGGGGTCGATGCTCTCACCCACGCGTTGACGAACAGTGGGAGGAGGGGGTGGTGGCTTGCTCGAAGCGAGAGTGGCATTTTTCTAACCCTCCTCTCCACTTTCAAGGACGGATCTACTCCCATCGCGCCTGATTGGAAAGCTACTTGTTCAGCTCGCAACAAGACCAGACCCTCACGTCGGCAAGCACCCTTCATCATGACCGTGACCGAGATTGTTCAAGCTCCCCGCTGGGCTGACCATTGTACGTGACACTGCCGTTGGCGTGACTTGGTGGGCCAAGTCCATCCCTCAAGCCAGACTTTTTGACGCTCATTCAGCTCTCTATCTGTATGACGCGATCGGTCTCACCTCTCGCTGCTCTGCCCAACCTTGCAGCCGCCGTGCACTATGATGATTGGCAAGAGGAAGCTCTCCTGGAGGCGGCTGCTTGCCCCGAGGGAGAAATCGAGGCCCTCGAGTACATTGAGCTGTGGTCCCTTGAGGAGCTTCAACGCCGCTCAGGAGCCGTCGATGAGAACGGCTGCACGCCCTTGCACTGGGCCTGCTACCACGACCACGTTCGCCTCATGTTTGCCCTCCTCAAGGCCGGCGCCGACTTGAATCAGGCCAACGCCAATGGTGTGACCCCTGCTCAGTGCGCCATGTACTGCCACGCCGATCGCGTCCTCTCCGTCCTCCGCATGGCCGATCTGCTCCCCGTTGAAAAGAAACATTAGCTCCCTTCGGCGGCACACCATGCGGACGCCGTTCTGCCTCTTTCGTGCACATATTGTGCTGGATCTTGATTTTTTTTTCTTTTCGTTTTTTTCATTTCTAAGCCACTTCATGTTAATCATCCCCGCCTGTACTCCTCGCAAGTCAGAAAATGTAAAAGTGTACAAGTGTGTGTGTTGCTGGTCCCACATCTGTGACTAGGTCCATCTGGCATGGGCATCCAGCGTACGGATGATCCCGTGCTTCTTATCTTCCCCCTCCTCTTCTACTCTGCCCTGCATCACACAACCAATGTCTAATCGAGACGACTCTTTGATCCAGCTCTGTCACTGTCAACGGTCACACTCACACACACACACGAAAGAGGTTGATGTAAGCTAAAACCGGATGTATGATCCTATCTGCCTACCCGTATATAAAATCTGATATTCAAGTGTGACCAGATAAATGTCTATTAGTTTCAAAGTTGCTCCTTTCGTATATCTTGTTTTACCAACGTGTGTGGTAACTTGTGCCAATGCGTGTGGCAGTGTTGCACATGCTCCGTTGGTTTGTGGGTGCTTCTTCGATCGTCCTCTCTCTCTCTGTCTCTGTCTCTGTCTCTGTCTCTCTCTCTCTCTCTGTCTGTCTGTCTCTCTCTCTCTCTCTCTCTGTCTCTCTCTCTCTCTGTGTCTTTAAGGCCCTCTTGAGCTCTCTTAAACCCTCTCTCTCTCTCTTCTCTCTCTTCAACTCTTCTCTCTCTTCAACTCTTCTCTCTCTCTCTATGAGATTTCCGACCTCGCAGGCCGGTTTGCACTGGATCCTTGGCTTGCTTCCAGGGCAGAGCACGTGAAAACGTGCCCTGCTGTGTGTGTGTGTGCGACTGTTCGTCATTTCGAGTCCCTTTGGTCCGGGGCATTGAGGGCTACCCGTGCAAGGGCATCCATACGGACGGGTGAGTGTCATGGCCAGCAGCTTGCAGATCCGGCCGGAACCTGCATCGGAAACAACTCCCCCCCCCCGCCCGGCGCACGCTATCACACCACGGGGCCCATCACACTCCGCTCGCGCGCGCGTGCGGAGTGTGTTGCTCCATTTCGAATGCCGGGATCGAACGAGCCGCCCGCGTCAATGCCTCACCCTCAACCCTTTGCCGTTGTCGCCCCCATTTTGACCTTTTCTGCCTCGTGGTGCAGCCTAGCAGCTAATCAGTACTTTGCGGGCGTGTCCGCACGGAATTGCGTTGCCCTCGGGCCGTTGCCAGTGCGATGGCCAACAACGCTGATCCGTCCGGCGCGCGGCGTCGTGTTCTGGACGTGGATCAACATATGGTTGGCATGCTCAACGACCCGCCTGCCCCCGCCACTGAGGTCACCCTCAGCGAGCCCCGAAGCGGATCAGGCTCATCCGACCCAACCGCCGTTGCTGGCCAAAATCCGGCCTCCGCCCATCCGATGACAAGCCCCCGTTCCGTCTCATCTTCGGCAGCACCCACCGTACCACCTGATGATGGCCATCTTCATCCCAAGCGCGGGGAAGACCTCCATCGCCGCAAGCCCAGTGACCTCTTTCAAGTCCGTACAGCTGAGGAGTGGTACACCCCTGAGCAACTAGCGGCCTTGCGCAAACCTGGCAAGCGCAACCTCATCCTGTCCACTGGCGAGCGCATCGACTACATCCTTGCCTACTACCTGCCCGAAAAGGTAGTGCGCATGCTTGCCCCCCGCCTTTGCGCTCAAACCATTGCGCATTACAACCTGAAGAAGCGAGCTGACACTCATGTTGCTGGTTTATTTTCCCCCCTCTCTGTGTTTCCGGCCCCTTAGGTCACTTATCAAGACCTTATCGACATGATGGAAGATCCCGAACGCCAGGTTTGCATTGACTCGAAATCCAGAAACGGTCGGCCATGCCCTTTTCCTCGGCTTTGAGGACCTGTCATCCGCCTGCTACCCCCCCCCCCCCCTTTTTTTATCTGGTAGGACAATCCTGACGCCCACATTGCTGCCAAGCGCCTCCACTTTGAGGTTGAATTGGTACAAAAAGGACTTGTGCTGGAACACGAGCTAGGCGCTGGTTTGTCCACCGCAACTGTTGACCTTTGGCCAAAATTGACTTTCAAGATGGCTCTCGACTCCCATCTCCATGTCTCATATCTCTCACATTTCATTTTCCATGTTCGCTTTAGGTGACAAGGTCGTCTTTGTCAAGATTCACACCCCTTTCAAGGTGCTCTGCGCCCGAGCTGAGAAATTTCAGTATAAGATGCCCCTGAGAGAATCTCGCAAGGTCCGCACATTGCTCTTGCCCGCGATGGCGTCCCACTTCTTGGCCGTGTCCTCACCAGCCCACCACCAGCTTGCTGTAAATGAAGAATCAGAGGTGCAGCAGGTGTCGCGCTTCGAACAATACGCAACTCGCTTCCTTCCCACCTTCATCACTGAGTATGTCATGGCCGCATCTGCCGAGCCTATACCTAATGACACTTGATTCACACACAGACACATTTGCCTCTTGCCCTGCCCATGCTAGCTTCATGTTTTACACCCAAGCCGATCGCGCTCGAGCCGAACATTCCTCCGCCCTGTTTACCGTGGCCCAGGCAGAGGTGCCTCTGCGTGCCCAGATCTTGCTACCACGTTTCCCTTCCTCCTGCTTACTTCTCGGTCCTTGCCTCTTCATCTCCGCAGAAATTTGGAATTTGACC